TCCAGGGTCAACACAGCACGGTCTGTGCATGCTTGTTATTAATTGTAACCGGCTGGACCCTCAGTCCAGCTGAAAGCACACAGGGAATTACTTTGCACTCTGAGAAAAGGTGGAAAGTAGGTCATTGCTCCAGCCACTCAACCGTGCAGGCTCCCAGCGACCAAACCTCGGTGGCTTGCATCTATTAGATGTGCACGTGGGACAAATGGACTGGAGACCCTGTGCAAGCAGCCTGTGGGGACAGCGCCACACCAGCCCAAGGCAGCTCGCCCTAGAGCAGCAGCAGCGACAGGCAAAAGCAAATGGCCCAGGCCTCCAGGATGATGAAATCCCGGTGATGTCCGTGGAAATGGGGGGCACTTAGCACAGGGAACAAATCAGCCCCGTTATCCACCCAGCTTCAGGCTCATGGGGCCAAAAACTGTTGTGCAGGCCTCCTTGAACATGAAACTGTGACTGCGGCGCCCGACACGGCCAGAAAGCACTTGGCGGGCAGTGGTCTCACGCTCCAGCCAGCAGAGACGGCAGGACAGACATGGGCTGGTTGGGGATATCAAAGTCCAGCTGCTCCATCCATCTCTCATGCATACACATGCACATGCACACGCTCTCCTGCCTACACCAAGTCGATGGCAATGTTTTCAGCACTGCTGCACACCCGAGGCAGGGAGCGTGCTGGCCTAGCAAGGCTCATGCTTAGCAGATGCTGCGCCCATTCACAGCCAGTTACCTGACACCTGTGCTTATAACTGCTCCTGGCTCCTGCTACGTTTCCAGCTAAGGAGAAGGTTTACCCGGAGCCCAAAACCTGTTGATGTTTCCGTGAACATTCCCAGTCTGACACCAGCCCTGGGACCCCACCAGGCTCAGCAGGGGCCTCGGGTGCAATGACAGCCTGGATGGGGAAAGCCCCCTTGCCACTGCCCTCCCCCAGCTGCTGCCACTGCCATCAGGGCGACGCTGCATGGCGTCGGTGTGCAGGGCAGGGTACACGAAGTGGCTCATGGCTCCCTCCCCTGTGCCGCTCCCCTGGCCTTTGCCCTCCCAAGCTGAGCTCTGTGGGAAAAGCAGAAGTCGCTGCTGATAGAGGCTGTCAGACCCAGGCCGAGACGCCCCACGTGAGGCTGCATGGGGGCAGGCAGCAGTTTCATGAGGTCAGCCTATAAATCAGGCTGTGGCTCTGAGCTGGAGCCAGTTCTGAGCATTACCGATCCCCAAGGGCTGTGCAGGTCCCTGATTAACGGCCAGCGCAGACGAGCACCAGCACACGATGGCAGAGCATAGCACAGGCAGAAATAGCCGGCGGGAGGAATCGCAGGCAGCCCCGGACGAGACGGCTCCTCGGAGGCCCAGTCTGACCTCACGCCTGCCTCCGGCCACTCAGTTCCACCCCGCCACGGAGCCCTGGCCCTCGGGTCCAGCTACAGCCAGAAACGCACGCAGACGCGCAGGTCTGAAGACCTTCTTAGAGCGCTCCTAACGCCTGTGCATATTTGTCAGCATTTCCACCACGGTCCACGGAGCTCATCACTCCCCTCAGCTTTGCCAAACATGTAGTGCTCTTCATTGGCAGGGCTCAGTTAGACTGCTCAGTAGCTGCAAAATTTCACCATGCACACACCCCCCCCATCTATTGTGGGGCTCAGGCCCCCGGTGAGCCTGCCTGCCACCTACTTTACTGGCTTCAAGCAATTCTGCTGCCTCGGTTTGCTGACTGCCAGCCTCCAAACTCTCCCGAGTCCTGCGAAGGCCTTGTGCCACATGGCGCTGGCCTGCCGGACGGAGCGGCAGACTTCCCTGCAAGGGAAAGATCCGGCTCCCCCAGGCCAGGCACAGGAAACGCACTTGGACACGGTTTCAGCTACAGCACGTGCCCGACACGCAGCCAGAACCCTTACGGCCGAGCGGTCTGGGTCAGAGGCTTCCAGCCGGTTCTCCTCCACAGACCTGTCCCCTCGTTCCTGTCACTGCTACCTGTGGGATTCAACCATGGGATTGCAGCCATTCGCTGACCTGGAGCTTGCCCGGCCGCTGCACACGCTCGACAGAGTGAATGAGGAACAGGCCAGCGAGAAGGGAGAGTTTCAAAGTTGTGCCCAGGCCCCTCGCTGCCACGGCTTCCCACAGCAGTAAATCAGCTGCCTGCGACCCAGCTCCCCACATCCTATCGGGACACACTCACAGGATACAGTCCTCAGCAAGACACGAGAGGGTTCACCTTGCCGGGCCTGCCCCCGCTGCCGGGCAAGCTCCAGGTCAGCGAATGGCTGCAATCCCATGGTTGAATCCCCTCCTCACAGCATGCCTGCCCCTGCGCTGCCCGCTGACAGAGGCAAAGAGCAGGAAAGGTGAAGGTCCTGCATTTGCTGTTAACGAGCAGGCAGGAAGCACAATGCCCAAGTGGTGGTGGTGGGCTGGGGGTGAAGAGCCTTCACTGGGGTCACATCCCAGGGGCCCCGGAGCTAACGTGACCAGAAGCAGAGGACAGCTAACAGGGCTGGTCGCTGTGGATCTGAAGAGGCTGTGAACAGCCAGGAGAAGCTGGGCTAGGAGCTAGGAGCGGCTGGTCACTCCCACAGCCCCTGGCTCGGAGACGACGGAGCAGGGAACGAGCCGGGAAAACCTTGCCCAGTGCCATAAATCTCTGGCAGGGCCACGCACATCCTGCAGACACCAGGGCAGTAAATCTGTGAGTGCCACATAAATCAGCTTCACAAGCAGCTCCCGAAACAAGGGTTCAACTCAGTCAGCTGTAAAACACCTTTAAACATCCTGTGCCTGAGCGAGAGATGACAGGCGAGTCGCTGGGGGACCCCAGAGGCTGCAGCCAGCCACGGCCGACTGAGAACAGGCATTTCGCATCTTCCTCCCAGGAGACCTTAGCGAACAACAGAGAAAGCAGGTCAGCTCAGGAGCAGGCAGCACCACCGCTGCCATTCAGACGCCACGTAGCTCAGGGCACTCGCAAAACAGGCAGCCCCAGGGGAGCCCGGCATGACCCCCCATGTCAAAACCAGGCTGTGCTGGATCCCATCCTGCGGTTACCCGAGGACTGTGTGGCGGTTGTGCAAAACCCCCAGAGAGTGATTCAGTCCTGGCTCCTGCCCCGTCCCCACTTGACCCCATGCCCTGGCACACTGAGCCCCACGAGGCCACCTTCAAGAGCCCCAAACCTCAGGAAAAACCCTCCGCTGGGGCCAGCAGCTCAGAGCCGACTGACACTTTGCACCCTGCAGGCTCGGCCTCTTGGATCCAGCATCCAGGAACAACCCTCTCCCCCAGCCCACCTGGGCTTTTCCAGCTCACTTCAGTAGCACATGGCAAACATCTGCTCACTGCCCCGACGCCCTTGGGGCACAGAACTGGGCTCCAGGAGCGTGACCGGTGACTGACCCCCAGGTCACGCAGCTCGTGTCTCAGTGGAGCCAGCTCCCGAGTGGCACAGCACAGGCTGGCAGGGAGCCTCGCGGCGGGTGGAGGGGACAGCTTGGCCAAAGCAGGGCATGGAGCTGGTACGGAGTCTGCTGGCAGCCCCCAGGCACTGGTACGCTCCACATGCGCCCAGCAGCTGTGGTACACATGGCCCTCAGGTCCAGGGGAGATGGGCACACAGGATGGCCTCGCAGCAAACAGCAGGCTCACTGCAGGCACGACATACGCAAGCTTTGTGCAGGGGGACAGGACAGGCCAGGAAGAAGACACAAGAGACGCAGTGCCCCGCACCCGCCATCTAGCCAAACTGTGTCGCACGCCCAAGAAATGAAGTCACCCACAGAAACCCTTGCCTGGTGAAGGACAGCAAGGGACAGGTCCTTGCTGCTGTTAATTCCCAAACAAGCAGAGGCTGGGAGAGACCATGCAGACAATCCCACCCCACTCCTCCTGCTGAAGCTGGCTCCTGGCCTCTCATCCCGACCAACTGAGCTGAGCAGACCAGTACAGGAGCTTCACAATACAGGGCACAGGCCCTGTCCACCTCCCTCCCGCGATGCGCTGCCCTCGGAGGACCTGAAGACCTCTGCCGCGTGCACAGCACTCAGGCACACGCTGGCACCAAAAATGGCAGAACTGCTCCCCCACTCGGGACCTTGGAGAACAGGGGAGGAGAGAGATGGTAAGAGCCAGACGTGGCTATGTGGTTGGCACCCATCCAGGTGTTGGTGCCTCAGACCTGGGCAGAGCCTGGACATGAGGAGAGCCGAGAACACGGTGGAGGACGAGCCACCAGCAGCGCTCCCCTGGCAGAGGGGAGCAGCCACTGGGAACAGGACGTGCTGCTGATAACAGCAGCACCAGGCCCACAGCCAGACCACGCCAGGCCCCAGGCAGTACTGCCAGCACAGCCCCCGCATTCACACCACGGGGTGGGCAGCAGGAACGTGCACGGCGAAGACGCAAGGGCAGAGAGCAACCTGAAGTCTGGAGGCCTGGGCCAAACCACTCTGGATCCCAGCCTGTCTGCGGCTCGGGAGCATGCATCCCAGAGGTGCAGCTGTTTCCAGCTCCAGTCCGGGACTCCCAGCCCACAAAGGATGCAGGCAGAGCCGACTACTCTCTGGCAAGGCAAATTCAGCCCCAGAACCCGGGGCAAGGAAATGCCCCTGTCCAGAACAGCCTCTGTCCTGACCACCAGCACGGGGTACCTGCTGCCCCATGCAGCAGCCAAGCGGTCACTAAAGGAAAGGCCTGGTCCCCGGGTGGGTTCACTGCATCCTGCCCTGCCTTGAATGGGGCCACGTGCATCACCCTCCACCTCAGCATGGTCCGGTAACACTACACGCGTCACCCTGAGAGCGGCTAGCAATGCCATGCACCGGGTTAGGGAACAGCTGATGGTCCCCATCACACCGGGACCGCACAGAGCCTACAGCCCTAAGGAGCCCCTCTTCCCATCACCAGGTCCCTTCCCATGGCAGTTCGAGCCACCACCACCCCTTCTTCTGCGTAACCAGCACCACCCGGTGCCGGTCTGGGCAGGCACTCGGCACCACGACACTCACCTTCGGGCATGATGCGGTGCATGGCCACCGAGAGGAAGAAGATGGAGTCGCTGTAGTAGGCGCCTGAGCCGGCGCTGAAGTGCTTCTGCATGGCCTCGACAATGGGGAACAGCTTCTCGGTCAGCACAGCCACATCATGAAAGGTCACCTGGGGAGAGCAGGCAGACACAGCTGCTGAGCAGGACGCCCTGGGCAGCGTGGCAGGAGCCACATCATGGGCTGGTGCATGATGATGACCCAAGCTGCAGAGCCACGCAGCCAGTCCACGTCCTTGTCTTGCTGAGGCGCCCAGTGCCAGGCACCGTGTGTGTAGACGCAAGCACACACACACGTGTCCTGTGCTCACCCCGCCAGCTAGGGACTGGCCCACATGCAAAGGGCTCAGGGCCTAAAGGGCTGTTCTATTCACCGGCTGCAGCAGCGTGCACACGTGCACGTACACGCCACAGAACAGCTGCTCCGGTCACACTGACCCCAGGGAGAAACCAAGCAGGCGGAGACAAATCAAGCTGCTGCTCCAGATGTGGCCCATCAGCACTGAACTGCTGGATGCTATGGGCCCGGAGCTTGCTTGGAGATGCCTCAGCTGCAGCCCAACCTTCGCCATCCTGGGCACGTGCCAATCCACGGCACTCTCAGTGCAACAGCCCCCCGAGGGCATGACCCAGCTGCCAGCAGGCTGGGGGAAAGGAGGTCTCGCTCGCTGGACACGCTCCCCCAGCACTGGCCCTGGCCCTGGCCCAGCTGGGCACCGGGGCTGGCGTCGAGAGGCAGCGGTGCGCCCAGTGGTGCCGCGGGGTCACGCTCTCCCGGTGCTGAAACGCTGGCGCCTGCGAGGGGGCACGTCCTGCCCCATGCCCAGAGCGAACGGCTAACAGCTCCCGCTGAGCTCCGGCCATGCAGAGGTGCCTCGTGCCCGTGAGAGAAACCGATCCCCGGGAGACGCGGCAAGCGCGTGGCCCAGCCGTGCATGCCGGGCGCAAGACAACGGTGCGCCGGGGTCCAGACCTGGGGCAGCAGGGAGGAGGCGCCGCGCTCCTGGCGCTGGCTGGTGTCCATCAGTGGGAGCGCACGGCCCCCTGCTCCCGTGGACGGACGGTATTCCCACCCCGATGCATACCCTATGCCCAGGATGGACACTGCTCGATCGCCTGGGCCCAGCCAAGGTTCTCTCTACACCCGATCTGTCCGAGGGATTCTGGCAAATGGCACTGGATCCAGATGCCATAGCCAAGTCTGCCTTTACCACCCCTGTGGGGCTACGTGAGTTTACGGTTTTACCTTTTGGTATGTGCAACTCTCCTGCGTCCTTTCAAAGACTGATTAATAACCTGCTACAAGGATGTGAGCAGGTTGCCATGGCCTACATCGATGCCATCACCATCTTCAGTCAGGGCTTTGAATTGCACCCGATTCATCTGGCCACCGAGTTAACCAAGATCAAGCACGCTGGTCTTACGGCGAAAGCCAAAAAGTGCCAGCGGGCACCATCCGAAGCGGTATATTTGGGACATCATGTGGGGACAGACGCGCGACCTCTGCGAGGGGGCAGCAGGGCCGGGCGCCGAGTTCCTGGGGGCAGGGATCCTGTCGGGAGCAGCCCCAGGGGCTCCCGCGGCCCGCGAGGTGGAGGGCGGCGGGGGGCAGGTCCGGCAGCGGGAGGCCTGGACGGGCCCGGAGCAGCCGCTGCACTAGCACCGCGCCGCGCCCAC